TTTTTTTTTTTAATTTTCATTTTTGAAACTTAAGATTCACACAGTACTTACTGTTTTGCAACTGATTTCTTTTAGTAAGTGTATTTTTGAGATTCTGCTATATTGATGTGTAAGCTATAGTTTATTTCTTTTCTGTATGTACAATATTTCATTTTAAGAAGAGACTGTAGTTTATTGTTGATGCTGTTTCCAACTTCTGACATGATGACCAGTATTATTATGAACATTCTTCTCATGTGATGCAATAAGTACACATTTGTGATGGAAGGGCCATATATTCCAGTTTATGCCTGTTCTACATAATTATTAATATTACCTCTTTTCATTCTTAAAAATGTCCTAAGTCTTTTAATAATAAATTATACAGACAATATGCAGGGTTTTTCTATCTTAGTACTCCTGACATTTTGGGCTGAGTAATTCCTTGTTGTGGAGGCTGTCATGTACACTGTAGAATATTTAGCTGCATCCTTGACTTCCCCCCACTAAATGCCAGTAGCACCTCCCATCATTTTTGACAACCAAACATGTCTTCAGACATTGCCAAATGTCCCCTGAGGGACAGAATCACCTCTAGTACAGTACCACTGGTTTTAGTCTATAACCAAACCATACCAAACTCACTGCCATTGAGTCAGATCCAACTCATAGAGACTACTCCTTGGGTTTCTGAGGCAGTATCACTATGGAAGTAGATTGCCCCATCTTCCTTCCGAGGAGAGGCTGATGAGTTTCAACTGCCAGCCTTCTGGTTAGCAGTCAAATGCATTGGGCATTACGCCACCAGAGCTTCCAATTTTACTCTATAGGGTATTTATATTTTCACTAGATACTACCAAATAGTTTTCCAAAGTGGCCGTCCCCTTTACCGTTTCATCAGTGGGATATTTGCCTCCTGTTGCTGTAGTCTGCATCCATACCTCTTTGTGTCCTAATTTTAGCCACTCTGGAGGATATCTCGTGGTATCTCATTTTGATTTTATTTTTCATTTTACTAACTAATTGGGCTGAGAATTTTTTATGTTTAATGGCCATCTGGATATCCTGTTTATGAAGCACATATTTAAGTCTCAAAGTTATTTTTTACTTTATGTTCATTCATAAGTTGATGAACATTTGGGTGTTTTTCTTATTGATTTGTTTGTAGGATTTTTTCATATATTCTGGTCATTTGTGTCTTTTGTCAATTATGTGTATTGCAAGTATTTTCTTCACTTTATGATTACCCTTTTTACTTTCTTAATGATAGTCAAAATTCTGGATAACTGGTATGGTCCAGCTTACCTTACATGGTTAATTTTTGTGTCCAATGTAAGAAATCAGTGTTTACCCAAAAGTTATGAAGATATTTTCCTATGTAATCTTTTAGGAGCTATATTATTTTACCTGCTACCAAGAGATTTACAGTGGGATTAATCTTTATGTATAATATAGGAGTCAAGTTTGATTTTGAATGTAGATATTGAGATGATTCAGCACCATTTATTGCAGAGATCCTCCTCTTTCCACTGCTTTGTGTGCTACTTTTGTCATAGATTGAGTGCATATCTGTATTTTGGAGGGGAGGGGACTTCTTTGCTTTTGTTCGGCTGTATGTTCTTGTATGTTCTTGCACTTGTTCTTGTATGTTCTTCTATGTTCTTGCACTTCTAGAATTTTATAATGTCTTGAACAGGTCTTCTCATCTTGTTCTTATTTTGAGAGTGTCTCCATCTGTTTTTGACCTTTTACATTTCCATATGAGTTTTATATTCAAATTAGTCAAGTTCCAAAACCATTAAGATTTTTATGAGACAGAATGTGTATGAATTGATGTGTGGAAAATGAATTTGATCTGTAAACTATCACCCAAATCACAATAAAAATTTTTTTAAAAAGTTGAAATATTGATCAATACTGAATTGTATCTGTAGATTAATTTGATGCGAATTACATTACCAGAATTTTGAATCTTCCAATCTATGAACATGTTGTTGTTGTTGTTATATGCCGTCGAGTCAGACCTGACTCATAGCGACCCCTCCTTGGGTTTCCAAGGCAATATCACTATGGAAGTTGATTGCCCAGCCTTCCTTCCGAGGAGCAGCTGGTGGGTTTGAACTGCCAGCCTTCTGGTTAGCAATCAAGTGCCTTAGGCACTATGAACGTGGTATATCTTTAATGTCTCTCAACAATTTTTTAAAACATAACAGATTTATTAAAATATAATTTATGTACTGTAAATTTTACCCTTTCAGAGTGTCCAATCTAGTGTTTTTTAGTATATTCATAATTATGCATTCATCATCACTATCTAAATTCAGAATATTCTCATCCTCACAGAAAACAATACCTTCCTTTAAACTTGAAACTGAACCCACTTCCAGAGATCACCTGTCAGCTAAACAATAAAAACCCACTGCCATCAACCTGATTCCTACTTATAGCAACCCTATGTTGTTGTTGTTGTTATGTGCCATTGAGTCAGACCCGACTCATAGCAACCCCTCCTTGGGTTTCCGAGGCAGTATCACTACAGAAGTAGGATTGCCCAACCTTCCTTCCGAGGAGTGGCTGGTGGGTTTGAACCACCAGCCTTCTGGTTAGCAGTCAAGTGCCTTAGGCACTAAGCTACCAGAGCTCCCAGCAACCCTATAGGACGGGGTAAAACTTCCCTATAGAGTTTCCAAGGCTGTAAATCTTTACAAAAGCAGAGTGCTTCATCTTTCTTCCATGGAGCAGCTGGTGGGTTCAAACTGCCACCCTTTTGGTAGCAGCCGAATGCTTTAACCACTGTGCCACCAGAGCTTCTTAGCCAAATAATATGCCTGTAAATTGAAAAGTGTCACCCATGAGGAACTTGCTTCTCAGAACAATCAACTACACAAGACCAAAAGGACAGCATTTTCCTAAAAAGAAAGTTCAGAAGGCAGGAAGGGACAGGAAAGACAGGTGAATTGAAACAAGGAACCCAGGTAGGAAGTGAAAAGAGTGCTGTAACATTGAGGGGATTGCAACTAATGTCATAAAACAAAATGTGCATAAATTGTTGAATGGGAAACTAAGTTGTTCTGTAAACTTTTCACCCAAACCACAATAAAGTATTCCCCAAAAGGAAATGCCCTACCATTAGCAATCACTCCCATTTCCCCAGCCCCTGGCAAATAGTAATCTACTTTATACATTTATGGGTTTATACATTATGGACCTTTCATATGAATGGAATTATAAAATATGTGCTTTTTTGTCCTTCACTTTACATAATGTTTTCAGTGTTTATCCTTGTTGTATATCTCAGAAGTTAATCTAAAATATAGCTAGCTGAATAATCTATTGCATAGCTATACCATATTTTGTATATCTATTCATTTGTTGATGGACATTTGCATTGTTTTCTCAACAATATTTTTTAGTTTTCAGAAATAGATTCAACATAGAATTTATTCATAATTCTAGAACAAAGAATTATTCATAGTTTTGCTTCTGATGAAGGTTTTTTAGGTCTGTGATTACATACACTGGTTTGTAAGCTGTGGGAGAACGGGGATTTTTATCCATTTTGTTGAATGATCCATGCTGAGTACACAGACTAATGTCTGGCTTATAGAGCGCAACCAGTAATATTTGTTGTATCACACTCATGGTCTATGTGAGTTTATGTGCTGTTCTTGAAAGGATGATTGCACAATTTCTGCAAGCTTGTTTTTCTTTGTAGGGGCTCTGGTAGCATAGTGCTTAAAGCATTTGGCCACTAACCAAAAGGTCAGTGATTCAAAACCACCAGCCACTTTGTGGAAGAAATATGAGGCAGTCTGCTTCCATAAAGGTTTACAGCCTTAGAAACTCTATGGGGCAGTTCTGCTCTGTCCTAAAAGGGTGCTGTGAGTTGGAATTGTCTTGATGGCTGTGGGTTTGGTTTAGTTTGGTTTTCTTTGTAACTTGGTGAAATGTCCACTTTTGTGTTTGCAGATGGAGTGGTTCAGTCATTATAAAAAGTCTCTTGCTACGTATATGAGGTCATTGGGAGGAAATGACGGTTTGGACATTACACAGGATATGAAACCTCCAAAAAGCCTGTACATTGAAGTAAGTTTTACCTCATAACAATGAGTTTTTATTTAATGTGTGGATTATGATACCTTTTATCTAAAAAGCAGTATATAAATATATATTAGCTTATATTATATAAAAGAAAGGAAGACCTCAATATTCACAATAGCCAAAAGGGGGAAGCCACTTAAATGAATGTCAACAGATGAATTAGGTAAACAAATTCCAGTACATACATATGTGGAATTTACTCAGCCTTAGAGAAATGAATTCCTGATACATGCTACTACACATATGAACCTTGAAAACATGGTGAGTGAAATAAGTCAGTCATAAAAGGGCAAATATAATATCCCACTTGCAGGAAACAGGCAAATGTATGGAGACCAAAGTTTATTAGTGGTTACCAGGAATGGGATGGAGAGGGGAAATGATATATAGCACTTCACAGTCCTACCACAGTCCCTTACTCCCTTAGGGAGTACTTAGTTTCTGATAATAGTGGTAGAATAAATTGATAGTTAAAAAGTCTCATTTTTCAAAAAGAGAAGGGAAGTGTTCTGGTTACTTAGTCCCGCTCTGACAAGAATATACCACAAATTGGATGGCTTGAAAAAAACAGGAGTTTATTCTCTTATAGTTTGGAGGCTTTAAGTCCGAGTTCAAAGTGCCAGGCTCTAGGGGCTGGGTGAAGCCCCTCAACCTTGGACTTCAGCTCTGCCTCCTGCTCCCGGCCCACTGAAGCTGGAGGTTTTTCTTCACTCAGCTGCTGGCTGCTGAGGCTGACAAGCGTAAGGTTGACAAGTAATAAGGCACAGTCCCAATATTACCAAGCCACACGTCAGGCCATTAATTCAAATCCATTAAAAGTCCCAAGATCAGCAGATCATGGCAGGCTCCTGAACAACAACTGGGCTACATGTAGGGTTCAACCATGCCATAAGCTAGAGACCATTCCCAAGGCTTCTCCTTGTATACATGAAGCAGACCATATCCCTAAGGCAGCTAGCTACTCAGCTGCTCCAGTAGATTCCACCATGGAGTTAATTACCAATCTCATCATGGGGAATACTACCACCAGCTGCCCAGCCACTCAACCAGGCCCAGCCAAGTTGACACACAACCTTAACTACCACAGGAAGCATAAAACAAACAAAAATTACCCGTAGGGGGATGGTGGAAACAACATGGCACAACTAAAATTTTCTGGATGTACATTGTAAAACTGTTGACTTTTGAACTGTATGTATGTTTACGTTTTTTCTTTCTTTAAAGTTTCATTGTGGTAAAGTACATATAACAAAAAATTATCATTTTACCCATTTTTTTAAAATGTATTTTACTGAAATATAACTTATGTACAGTGAAATACACAAAACTAAAGTAACATGGGTCAATGCATTTTCTTTTTTTTTTTTTGCAGTGTTCCCTCTCCACCCCTCCCACCCCTGGCAACCAACAAAGTTTCCCTCCTTATATAAACCTT